AAAAAAAGGAGAAGTCTCACCTTTTATTATTTTTGCAGTTCAGTTACCTAACTAGCTCAGTATATGTTGCTTTTTATTCCTTGCTTCTGTGTACAGCATAAGGTTAGATCCAGACACAATGGGGTCTGGATCTAACACAACGGGAATCCCCTTTCCCCACCACACATTGGAAAGGAGACGGCCTCTTGAATGACGGCACTTCTCACTGCCCCTGCACTTTCCCCAATCAAGTGAATACCGTATTTTTCGCTCCATAAGACGCACTTTTTTTCCCCCAAAAGGAGGGGGAAAATGTGCCTGCGTCTTATGGAGCGAATACCTATCGCCCGACACCTGGGACATGCAGTTTCGGGCGCCGGGCGAGTAGTTTCTTTTTGTACATTCAGCCCTGCTCGTGACAAGCAGAGCTGAATGTACAGTGGGAGCCGCTGTTCGTTTAATACAAGGGATCTAATTAGATCCCTTGTATTAAATCGAGCGGCATCGGCGATTAGTGTCCGCCCCCCGCCGAGGTTTTCTGGGTCCCCCGTACCTCTGCGGGACTGTGACCCGTCACGATCCCCCATAGGAGCTCACCATAGAGCCCATTGAGCAGACGAAGAACAACGTTCTTCGTGTGATTACTGAGACAGCGCCACCTGTCTCAGCAGTCACTAACTGCAGCTTCTGTGACAGAATTTCTGTCATAGAATTTCTGTCACAGAAGCCATGCGTCCTATCGTCCGGAGCGTCTTATAGACCGCAAAATACGGTAATAGGAATGCAGAAGGAGGGATGCACAGTGACAGGGTCTGGAAGGGGAACCTTGTTTTGTGTCAGGAAAGGACTCTGCACAAATGAAGGCACTGACAATCAAGAGGACCATCTCCCTTGAAGAGCAGGGTCCAGGGGAAGGGAGAGGGTGGGTACCATGCTGTCACCCTCTAGGTGGGTCTTTGTTTATGGACTGTACATTAAGCCCCCATTCACACTAGAAACGGCCGGCACATACAGCTCCGTGCTCAGCCGTATCGGGCAGCTCCCGGGAAGGACAGGTGCTGCGTGTGATTAGTACGCAGCTCCCATCCTTCTCTATGGGACTACGCGGCAGTACGCCGCCCTATGCTCACCCGCCCTGCACATCCGTGCGGGTGAGCGTACGCTGACGAGATGGATCCTGTCTGCGTCTGAGCCAGGAAACACGCACCCGTACGGACCTCCACTTGGGGTGAGCGTAGGGCGTATGGCCGCGTAGTCCCATAGAGAAGGACGGGGGCTGCGTACTAATCACACGCAGCACCTGTACGTGCCAGACGTTTCTCGTGTGAATGAGGGCTTGTAGTGTCAAAGGAGCTCCAGTTATATTGGGGGTTAATCCAGAGAAGATGTATGCACTGATCCTGCAGCCTGGTTAGTTGGAAGGGAAGCATCCATGTAACAGCACGGTGAAAAAAACACATAAAACATCTCGCCTGTCACCCATCAGATGAAAGTCCCAGATTGTTATCAGGATAGACGGCACATGAAGAGAGCAGAGTCCAGTCCAGCTGCGACCTCGCCTTGAGGAGAACCAGCTACAGCAGTGCTCAGCCACTGGATCAGATCTGTGTCTTCCAGCACCGGCGTTCTGGAATCATTCTGGACTGGACTCTGCTCTCTCCATGTGCCATCTATTCTGATCACAATCTTGGACCGGCAGCTGAGATCGAACTTTCATCTGATGTGTGACAGGCGAGATGTTTGTTAATTATCCTGTAAGTGCATTACTTTTAACTTTGTATTAAGCAGTCACTTTTTATACTGCACTTAGATCTGTGGGCCGGTTTTTTGTTTTCTTCACAGAAGCATGGGAGAAAAAGTAGGGATGCACCGATACCGGTATTTCGGTATCGAGTACCGATATTTGTTTTCCGGTACTCGCCGATACCGAGTACTGGAAGTCCCATTCAGGAAGCCAGACAGTGTGTAATGACTCGACACCTGGCTTCCTAATTAGCCGGGAAGCCAGGCAGTGTGTAAAGAGTCGCTACCCGGCTTCCCGATTAGCAGGGAAGCCGTCTCCATGCTTCTTTTCACTAGGTGACGAGAAAGCATGGAGCCGGCTTTCTGGCCAATCAGGCCAACCAAAGCCGGGCACTGTGTAATGACGCGGCGCCCGGCTTCCTGATTGGCTGGGAAGCCGGCTCCATGCTCCCTCGTCATGAGGTGACAAGGGAGCATGAAGCGTGCTTCACGACCAATCAGAAACCGGGCGCCGCGTCATTATACGGCGCCTGGCTCCATGCTCTCTCGTGGCAAGAGAGCATAGAGCCGGTTTCCCGGCCAATCAGGAAGCCGGACAGTGTGTAATGACGTGCTGCCCAGCTTCCTGATATCAGAAGTATCGGGCTAAGCATCGGAGCATTTCGGCAAATAGAGTGCTCGCCCATATACTCGGCATCGATACTAGTATCGGTGCATCCCTAATAAAAAGCAACATACTCTGTGGGAATTGGGAGACTGAGCCGGGAAAAATAAACAAGGTTAGATGACTTCTTTAAAGTGATCCATTACTTTTGGGCATGGAGCAGCGAGTGACTAAGTCACCTTCCATCCATTTACGATTGGTTGAAGATTCATGTCTAAGCTGCAACCAGCATGGCTTGGAGCTTACATTGGGCATCTGGTGTCAAACGACTTTTGTTCGCACCAAAGCAGGTTTTCCATTCCCATACAAGTCTATAGGAATGCAAAACCCACTTAAAGCATAAAAGGTCAAATGCATCTGTCTGTGATCTCAGAAGCATCTCAAACTGATGTCATTAGCACATCCTCAAGGCCCATCAACACAGACCCTTCTACAGATATTATATACTGCAAGTGTTTTGTATTGTCATTGATTCCATCAGCTCCATCATGAACGTGCCTGGAGAGTCCACACTCAGGCGCGAGTTCCTCCGGCTGCAACAAGAGAACAAGAGCAATTCAGAAGCCCTGAAACAGCAGCAGATGGGCCCACAGCACCGCGATTCAGAGGCACACATCAAACAACTTCTGCATGAGCGCCAGAGACGCATCGAGGAGCAAAAAGAAGAGCGCCGGCGTGTGGAAGAGGTGAGGATATTGATGGATCATTCATGGTCACGTGGCTCCTGCTTCTAATAGTTTGTTCACCTACATTAGGATTGTTCTTCTGATGGCTTATAGGGCTGAACTAGTCACAGGAGATGAGTAAATTATTGCTTGAAAGTGGACGTGTCGTCTTCTTACGTTTCAGCAACAACGGCGCGAGCGAGATCAGAGGAAACAGCAAGAGAAGGAACAACAGAGGAGACGAGACGACCTGCGTAGGGAGGAGGAGAGACGGCTGGCCGAGAGGGAGCAAGTAAGTACACACATCTGCAGATCTCTGTAGAGATAGAGAAGGGATTTACTAAGACCAGAGGCACTAACAATACTCATTTCTGTTTATTATCTGCTGCATTATGTAAACACCTTACTGCAACACACGCACACCTCTGCTGTCAATTCCAGACTGGACACACCTCTGCTGTCACTGCCAGACTGGACACACCTCTGCTGTCACTGCAACACACGCACACACCTCATCACTGTTAGACTGGACACCCCTCTGCTGCCACTGCCAGACTGGACACACCTCTGCTGTCACTGCCAGACTGGACACACCTCTGCTGTCACTGCCAGACTGGACACACCTCTGCTGTCACTGCCAGACTGGACACACCTCTGCTGTCACTGCCAGACTGGACACACCTCTGCTGTCACTGCCAGACTGGACACACCTCTGCTGTCACTGCAACACACGCACACACCTCATCACTGTTAGACTGGACACCCCTCTGCTGCCACTGCCAGACTGGACACCCCTCTGCTGCCACTGCCAGACTGGACACACCTCTGCTGTCACTGCCAGACTGGACACACCTCTGCTGTCACTGCCAGACTGGACACACCTCTGCTGTCACTGCCAGACTGGACACACCTCTGCTGTCACTGCCAGACTGGACACACCTCTGCTGTCACTGCCAGACTGGACACACCTCTGCTGTCACTGCCAGACTGGACACACCTCTGCTGTCACTGCCAGACTGGACACACCTCTGCTGTCACTGCCAGACTGGACACACCTCTGCTGTCACTGCCAGACTGGACACACCTCTGCTGTCACTGCCAGACTGGACACACCTCTGCTGTCACTGCCAGACTGGACACACCTCTGCTGTCACTGCCAGACTGGACACACCTCTGCTGTCACTGCCAGACTGGACACACCTCTGCTGTCACTGCCAGACTGGACACACCACCTTACTCTAAGGCACACCACCTTGTGTTACATTACACCTTACTCTAAAACTGGACACAGCTTCCTGTCACTCTAAGACTGGACGCACCTCTTATTACACTGCACCATACTGCAAGGCTACCTGCACACCTTTCTTGTCACTGCAAGACTGGACACCGGTCTTATTATACTGCACAATACCGCAAGACTGGGCAGAGCTCTCCTGTTCCTGCAAGACTGGCCACACACCTCTCTAGTCAGTGCGCCTTCCAGACTGCACACAGCACTCCTGTCAGTGCACCTTACTGCAAGGCTGGACACATCTTTCCAGTCACTGCCACACTGAGCATTTAATACAGCTCTCCTTTCATTGCAAAATTGAACATTCATCTCCCGTTCGTGTCCTTCCCTATCAGACTTCTTACATCAGGAATGTCACTGCAAAACTGAACAAATCTTACCTGTCACTATAACCATAGACAGGCCTCCCCTGTAACTGCAACTTACTGCAAGACTACCCATGCCACGCCTGTCATTTCACTGGAATACTGGACACACACAACGGTCACTTCACCTTACTAGCAGACTGAACACAGCTCACAATATATTCACATCTGTTGTTTGTCCAGTTTCAGATTTTTTTTTTACTTTGTGATTTCTCCGTGTTTCCTGCCTGTGTTTCCCTGCAATGAATGTGACTGATTTGTGTGGGTCTTCTGTGTGTGTGTGTGTGTGTGTGTGTGTGTGTGTGTGTGTAACATGGACAGGATGATGCCTCTCGTCCTCCATGTTGTGCATGCTATTGTTGTATGGAGTCGGCCTTGTTGTTGGTGCAGGGAAGGGAATACTGTTCATGTCTAATGTGGGACTGTTCCGTTTCTGAGCGGGTCCCTGTGTTCTCCTTCTTAGCTTGTTCTACTCTGATTAATCTTATTGTTTATTGTGGAACACAGCAACATGGAATGTGCTCCCTGCCTGCAGGAGGATTGACACTAAAAACCTTGACGTGTCCCACAACCAGAAGCAACGGTCAGTTTCTCATTATATGTAGGAGAAAGAAATGCCTACATCTGTAAATGATGTATTAAATATGCAAATCTGCTAATTCTTTGTCCATCAGCACTGCTTGGACCGAGAAGCAGAGGTTAGAGCCCCCCCCTCCCTCCCAAAAAGCCTGTTCTGAAAAATGAACTGTTAATGCAATTAGGAGACAGTATCACGGACAGTACTCAACTGTGTTGCTTCAGCATACAAACACAGTTTAGACAATTGTGCACTTCCAACCTCGTAGAAACCGTTTGGAGAATCCCCTTTTCTATTCCACCATGACTGTGAAGTCAGCTCCATAAACACATGGTATGATGAGATTGGTGTGGAGGAACACAAGTGTCCTGCACAGAGCCCTGACCTCAACCCTACTGAACACTTTTTGGATGAATTGATTGCAATCCAGGACTTCTCATCCAACATCAGTACCCGACCTTCCAAATGGGTACACATTCCCACAGACACACTCCAAAATCTTGTGGAAATCCTTCCAAGAAGAGAGGAGATTGTTATAGCCACAAAGTCCATGGTTCTGGATTGGGATGTCCAACATATAGGTGTGATAGTCAGATGTTTACAAACTTTTACCTATGCAGTGCACCTGTCCTTAGAGATTGTACCCTCATCTGAAGAAGGGAGGGATGAACAGATGGCAAATGATGGCCTTTATATGTTGAGCGAGTAGCCCATACTCTTAGTGGTCTAGTCTTCATCTTCTCTCCTGTCGCCTTTTGTGTCCCTGTAATGATGATGTAAGGAGAGCGCAAGTCCCTCCATTAATTGTCGCCTATTATGAAGCTTGGTTCCCAAATGGTTTAGATGGCTTAGGGTAAATGAGGAAACATTGGAGCCTGAGGCTGGCCATACACCTATCAATTTATTTTTTCCGTTGAACGAAAGAAATTGACCTGATTCCTCCAACACAAACATCACGTCGATCGAGGAATCCCACTGTTTACATTGTATTCTGACAGCGGCTGCCGGCCACTGTCAGAATACCCAATCAGAGCGGGCAGCTCATTGGCTGCTGGCTCTGATCGATCAAAAATTTCCCAGCCGGCTCCTTCGATCAGCTGATTGAGGAATGCCGGCTGAAGGGGAGCCGACAGCCCCAAACACGGTGCGAATTTTGGCCGGTACATTAAAAACCGGCCGAAATTCGACCAGTGTATGGGCATCTCGTGTCTGTTTCTGGGGGGGGG